TTTTAAAGGTTTATAGAGATATACCTTTAATTTTAGTATACCATATAAGCATGTAATAGTGATATATATACGTTTACGGAAGGACTATTTATTATAGATAAGAACTAACATAGTTTTATAGGCGAATGTGGCTACCATTAAGGCGAGAAAGATAAGAAGATACACTTAATCTGGACACTATACTAATGATAAATGTTACTAAATTAAAGTAGTATAAAGAAGCAATAAAATCTAGTGAAGTCAAATAAATATCTTATAAGACGCTTTCTGAACTAAGCGTTATGAAGTAATAATGAGTATATAGAATGCTAAAGCCGCCTAGGTAGATTAGTAGCGAGAAAAGCGGTAAGGAAGGAGGATCTCATAATGATCACGAATAGTTTCTTAAGTTCTCTCCGAAATAAGGCTCGCTCAGTTATGGTAGTTATGATGATATGAAAAGTAGCCAGCCTAAATGCGACGAAGCTAACTATACGATAAGAGACCTAAATGGCGCCCATAGAGAGACCTAATAGATTAGCTAGAAAGTTAAGGTAAAGACCACTTAATAACAGACCTAAATTAATAACTAATAATGTCCCTACGCGGCGTTCGGTATGTGATAAATTGGTAACACTAACACCTAAATATACCACGTTAACTACTAGATATATTACGCGCAGTAAGACTGCGGCCATAGTCTAGGGACCTATAAAGGTGTGACGGTTAAGAACATAGGTATAACTTAAATATTAGTGTATGTGAGAAGTGGTGGTAATGAGCCTAGGAGTAAATAAGGAAACCCTAGTTTATAGTAGAAATATTAGAGTAATTCCCATGATTATAACCGTATAGATCTGAGTAATCTCTATGGTGAGCGAGAGATAAATCTTTTGTAGGAGATATTAGGAGGAGGTCTAATAAGATTAGGAAGAACGAAGAATAAATACTGCGGGACAGAATGATTATCCTAGCACTATGCTATGTTTAGATCTTGGTAGGCGGTGTAGGAGGTCCCATTCCACCGTTAAAAGGCTGTGTACCTTGGGTTTCACAGAATCTCGATATTCTATTTCGTTCAATGTCCGTCCGGAACTACAGTCCGTAGTAGACTCTAGTCGCCAGGGTCTCCCGGCTCTAAGCGCAGGTCAGAAGATCACGTAGAGTGAAAGCACCTGCGAGGCTTACTTAGGAGAATTTTCCCATATGAGATTTAAGGAGCGCCATATTACTAATTAATTTCAAACCTTTGTATTATATACTATAGTATAGTAGATAATACTATACTTTAATTCAAAGCTACTAAATCTTAATTAAAGTATCTATAGGCTCGCTAAATAGGTAATGAAGCTAGCTCTTCTAATAACACTAAGTTCTCCTTACACTATAAACGCTGTAATAAAACGTGCTATAGGAGTTTAGCGCCTGCAAGAATAATGATTATTGAGTCGTTCTTACCTATTATAACTCTGTCACGGACTCTGCAGAGATAGTTATCACTAAAAACCTAACAAATAGAGAATTCGCGGGCCAGCGATTAGTATTCTTGATTCTGACGGCTCTATTATCTTTTACATACTTCTATATTAATTCTATCGCGATATATCTAATAGCTCTTATATCAGCCGTTTTTGGTTCCTTAGCGGTGTAATAGTACTCTTAGTTAGCTGCAATCAATTAGTTTTTATCTATCTAACCATTACTAGAGGCTTACCTAGGACGATATCTCCGCTCGGCTTTAGTAGGATATTTAAGCATGTTAATAAGCTATACTAGAGCCTAATTAAGCTCAAATAATATAGACCTTCTAGAATCTAATCTAGTTAGAAAATAGGTCTCCATTAGCGCTTAAGACATTAGCACACCTATACCAGAATAGTGACTAGCTATTACTTAGTTAAATAAGCTAAGTAAGTTATTACTTACTCTAGCGAGATAAAAATATGTTTAAAGATAGTAAAGTATGTCTATTCTCACTTAAAAATATTTATTACCCTAATAAATTTCTCGTGGCGAACTATGTTTAATATATTAAGGATTTCTTCCCCTTCATATCTTTTGTAATTTTTAATGGTAACCTTGCCTGAATTCGGAGATAAACTAATAGCGACAGTAATAAAGTCCTTAAATTTAAGCTTATATCCTTACTTATATATTTTCTATGGTGATTCGTGTCGGACTATTAGTAGAATTACTCTCTCGCTAGGAGGCGTTTAGTAATGAGTAGATGCGCTAGGTTTTAGTATCCCTAGCTTAGTGGCCTTTTTAATCTGTTTTCTAATTCCCTTTTTAGTATCTCTTTCTATATTAGTGGCGGGGGACAATTTTTTCTATAATATACTAATTCTTTTCGCTGTCCTAGCGATCTACTTAAGGTGGTTTATAGGGGTTAATAGTTTGGAGCCGGGCTCACTTCTAATAGCTCCTAAATCGATATGTAATTCTCTATTCTAGGCTGAACGAGTGAGATACTAATAGGATCTAGGCTATATAGGTATAGGTATAGTGATAAGGTGTAAGTCAGACTTATACGTGATAAGAAATTGTTCGGGGTCTATTTAATACTTACTTACTACGTCCCAGATTCTTAGAAGTTCAGTTTCCCTTCCCGATCTAGCGGGTGAGCTGCGCTGCTCTAACTCACCCCCAGCTCAGCCTAGCTCAGTTTCATCTCACTCTCGCGCCTAGATTAGGGTGAGTTAGGGGGTGAGTCATAGGTGTGCGCAGGCTGCGCCCAAGGTGAGCCGAAATTAGACTAAGGGATGAAGGAAGGGTGGCGACGGTGGGCGACGGCCTTTGATTTGTTCATGCTATGGGGGCCATAAGCGACTTTCGACAACAGGAAATCCAAACTCTTCTCTCCTTCTCTCCCTAGCTTATGATACTTTAGTTTGTCTCCTCGCGACCTGGAAGAACTACTGATTTGTAGGCCTATAGCTACAGATAGAGATACATCATATCTCTGAAATACTCTCGTCTGCGAAGCCGGCTTTCGCGTGTCTTGCAAGACAATAAGACCAAGTTGAGGTTATCAGAGAAAAGAGCTCCTAGCACGCCACCGTGTGGAAGCAGGGCGTTGAGACACCGCCGAGGTGGCGACGGCCCTCAATAGACTACGCCGAATCCTAGGGGCTATGCAAGAACGAGCTAGTCCCGTTAGGACTTAGAAGAGAAATGCGGACCTTGGCTATCACATATCATCCTCGACATCAGGATTTCTTTCTTTGGCTGGCTATGACTGGATATATATCTACGTTCGCCCTGGTCTATCTGCACTAGTTGAAATCGAGAACCCGCAGTCAACCCGAGAAGGACGTCTGAGTTCGTCTGGAGTGCGGGCGAGAAACGATATCCATCACGGACGCGCAGATCAAGATTGTCGACTCGGTCGTCTTAATATAGGACCTAATCGAAGATATTGTCAGTCGAATGCGGAAACATTCGATCTTAATGCACGCATTGCTTCCTTTCGCTCGGTAGTAGATGGTCGTTAGCAGATATAAATAAATGCCAGCTCAATTCGCTAACGTCCTCAAAGGAAGATCTACATAGCACTTATCATTTTACATAGACTGGATACTACTAGTACTGTAGCATCCATGACCAGGTTACGTCGGTTCATCAGTTCTGGCCGCTCCAGCGCAATTTTGGGGTTACTTAACCAACTTAAAGATAGCGACCGGTGTGACGCGAAAAAGTTGAACAGCGGCAGAGAAGAGCTAGAAAGCCATCAAGTATTGATGCCTATTCGACTACTTAGCACTCTTTAGAATTTTAACACGTGACGATGGAAATTCGTCCTAAATGACCTTCGAACTACTCTCGATAATGTCATTCTAGCGCTCTCTCGATATCACTTCTCTCTGACGAAACGACACTTTTTCTACCGGCCTTAACAGTTAGTATCTAATTAGACTACTTAACGCGCTTCGGAATAATTGCATATAACAACTAAAATCCCTCATAAGATGACCTTCGATAACTCTCGTCGCAATGTGTTCTTTCTTAATATCACCCTTCTGCTAGCATCAGAAGTCCACGGATCCCGGGAAATGGCTCAGGCCGACCATGTTACACCACCGAGATCGCGGGAAGCTGTCGAAGCGCTTTGTGAGCAGAATGTTGAACGAGATGGTTCCGGCGATGGTCTTCTTATGTTCAAAAATTCCAAAGCACGCTAGACTTTGATTGCTGATAATGATGATTTATCTCGGCGTACCCTTCCATTCTCATTGCCTCGCACAATGATGGCCATATCGGTTTCACTAACACAAAAAGTATGTCTTACTATTATTCTCACGCCTTATAAAATGACATAGTAAGTGCCTAAAGGTTCAATTCGTCTATTGATATTCACTATCCGCCGATCAAGGTAAATGACGCGATCTTTGAGCGTTCGGAGACGATTGGTAAGATTATTAGGATCTCGATCGATAGCATTCAATCGTAGCATGTATTTAGCGGCTCTGTCACGCAGGTTAAGAAGATATCCATGAATTATTTAGATGTGCTCGCTAAGGCTATTCGGATTACGGTCAATAGCACTGAGACAAGGATTAAGGCCTCGAAAGCCGTGATCTAGATTATTAACGCTTTGTTTAAGCTCTCCTAGGCGCTCACTAAGGCTATAGGGATTGCGGTCGACGCCGTTAAGGTGATTCTTAAGGTTCTTAAGACGTTCATTTAGACTGCCTAGATCACGATCGATATGGTCGAGACGGGGTCCAAGATTGTCAAAGTCCCGACTGAGAGTATTTACCCTTTGCTCGAGACTCCTTAGGCGTTCGCTAAGACTATTGGGAGTGCGATCAATAGCGTCGAGGCGAACACCAAGAGTGTTAAAGTTCTCTCGCAGACGACCAAATCTTTGGTCCAGGTTCCGAAACGCTCGTTGAGACTATTTGGATTGTGATTAACATTACCTAGGCGTGTACCGAGGCTGGCTGTAGTCTGGTTGAGCGTGTTGAAGTCCAACTCTAGCGCTCTGTAGCGCTCACCTATATTCTGCGTGCGTTTTCAAAATGGACAGCATCATCTTCGAGGATCCTTCCAAACCTCGGATACGCTCTAAGCAGCACGCTCGTGCAGCGCCGGTCAGCTTTTTTACCTCCTTAGGCCGAGAATGCATTCAAGAAGTCAAGCCACAGGCCGTGACGTCAGTTCCAAAACTTAAGCTACACGAACACTCTCACACAAGCGACAAAGATCGTTCTAATAAGCCCGAATGATTTTTAGGCCACTCTGATCGTGTCGACAGTAAAATCGTTGATAGATCACTCTAGAGCCGCGAAGTTTACTAGATTAGAACTCGAAGACTTCACTCTATAATCTATGTTGTAGCTCTCCGCACGATATCAATACTAATAACGGGCGAATAATGAAAGATACTTCTCTTCACGACGACTTCTCTCTCGCCTAGATTGATAAAAACGGCCTCGTTAAGAGCCTTAATGACGATTTGGAAAGTCTCTTTTCCGGTGTTCCGCTAAATTTAGAAGTTTTGAAAACGACTGGGCCCGACGAATATTCTAACGGTTAAGCCTAGAGCTTCTCTTTATGCGCCGCTAAGACCTACGATATTATCATTTCGTCACCAAGCGCTAACGATTCAGTCCGCTCAGAAACTCCTAGCCTGCGGTCGAACTCTGACGCCATTGACCTCACGGTAGAATCGAACTGCCCTCAGCCGAAGCGGATAGCGGTACCGCCAACAAAGCAATGCCTCCCGCCATCGTCGCATCATAAATCAAGGATAGAGATGGTCATTCCAAATTCTCATCTCTCATCGGGCTCACAACTTCCCCTCGCTCAGTCTGCAAACATTATGGTAACACCGAAGGGAACCAGACAACAGACGGTGTCTTCGCGACCTATTGAGCGCGTTAAACGTGGCCGAAAACGACGATATAGGAGTGAATCTGATACTGCCTTATCTGATTCTCGTCGAGTGCGTGTGGAAGCTAACTCCAATGGAAAGCCGTCCCCTACGGAAGGCACTGCCGCGCATTCCTTTCAAAAAGATACTCATCTTCACAAGCCAGGCTTTAAGTACGGAGCTCCTATCGACACCGAGACCTATAACTCTATCCATAGATCAGACAGCGAGCAGGCCCTCGTTGATCGTGGTGCGAGTGTAAACTACGAAGATAAACATGGACCTAATATTCTTCGAGGCAGACTCAGCACGACTCCCACTGTATTGTTAAACGACGAGCCGTCAAATAGCCGCCACAAGCAATATCAACACTGGGACAGATTAAAAAGCTTGAGCGTACAACCTGTGACACCAAGTGACGCCGCCTTCATCACCGCAATTATTGACAGCGCGGCTGAACTTCAGGACTTCTTTCAAGCACCTGCGGCCTGGGCCGTTGCGTGCGGAGTTCAGCCCGATAAGCTGGTAAATATCGCGCTCAAGCCACTTGCCAACCGTTGCTGGCTCCTGACGGCCACTGTATCACGATGTGCTAGTGGCATGGATCTTTTAAGACGAGGTCGGACCCGGAGTAGAGAAAGATGGTCACCCGATCCAGACACGAGTAGCGACTTTTGCTCAAGCGAAGGTGAAAGCGATTCTCGGCCAACGAAGCGAGGCCAGTGGACGAGTGAAGAGAATGACAAGTTGACAAAATCGAGGCGACTCGGTGAAGCGTGGTCCTGGACTTTCGAGAAACTCCCTGAACGATCCGAAGCCGCCGTGCGATCACGGTGGTTCGTGGTGCCAGCACCACGAATGGAAGTGACCAAGACAAGGCCAGTCTAGAGTGTTCTCTTCCGAGGCGGCTTACAATTATTTTAAACTGCAGAATTTACTCGAGATCACTGTGATTATGGAAGTGTAGTTGTGAGCTACATCAAAAATTGCTTTCAAGACTAAGTACAGTACAGATCATAATGGGGAAGAAGTCTTGAGTTCTCTTCCGAACATAAAACCGGACAGCCAAGCTAGAAGCTTTACAAGTATTAGCCATACTGGGTATAGTCGACCATGCGCCTTTATCACGCACGAGCTGGGCATATCATGAATCAGTCTTTCAACCGACTGTAGGTTGGCCTGTAGCCTCATCTTCCACCGAAGTACCTCTCGTTTCGATCGTTGCTCATGATCAATTTGTACTTTACGACGATGTTGTAGTCTTCTCGCACGTGCCGCAGCTTGGTACGCTATATTTCGTTTTCGATTGATGACCCGTTGATAATCCGCACGTTGTCTTTGCTTCTGTGCTTGTAGAAGATCGACTGTTTTGAGACTGGCGGCATCTTCCAGATCTTTGGCAAGCTGAGTTTGTTCTCGCGCGACCATGTGTGATAGAGCAACAGCGGAGAAAGCGGTCATGGCGTGCAAGCACCACGGTTGATTCGCAATTGCCTTGATCTGGAAAGAATGTCAATTAAAATCTATGAGCTGGTCTCATATACAGCTCACTCGTTCTTTCTGTCTTGCAGTGGCGGACGGGCTACGTGCCAAAGCCTGCTGAACTGTGCTCAACACCCTCCCAACGCAGGATGAGTATTCATTTTGTGTGATTCTGTTGATGTGGTTTCGATGAACTGCCGCGTGACGGATTCTGCGTGAGATTTGTAAGTCTACCATGAATTGGTCTCTTCGATCTTGTATGATTCCGCAGTTCATCATAGACTGCCTGTTGTTCAGACAATGGCGAGAAACGTCGTCGATAAGGAGCGTCAGCTCTGCAGCCTGTGGGCAGGGCCATGACCGAGTCGAGAGTATATCTGGGGCCGTTGCCTCACAAAATGTGAACAATGCTTGTTCGAGATCATTTTGCCATTGAGCAAGGAGTAGATGAGTTTTGAGAAAGCTACACAAGTCATGTTAGCTCTCCGAATATGACTAGGTATGGGCACGAACGTACCTGCATCCACCAAAATATTGTGAGACTACCTGAGCCTCAATCTCTGTTCCAGCTGGCATAATGATCACGATAAGTATTGGAGACTCGGATCTTGTTTGAATGATAGTCGAATGCGTTCACTTTCAAAAACTGGGCCTCCTTTTAATATATCGAACTGGCGAAGTACTGCAAGACTTTAGCACTTAAACCAGAAGTCCCCTATCTTCGCGCATTCGATAGTCTTGCAGGAGGTAAGGTGCACGGATCGTTTCGTGATCCTGTTCAGCTTTGATAGAGGATCGAACACTATACGCTCGATAAGGATGAATTGGATCATTGGTTAAGGCTCCCCTTAAAAGAATTCAAGCTAACCTTGCGCCGAACAAACACTCATTTCATTTCATTTCGATCTCGCACTCGCACTCGCACTCGCACTAGCACTGACATAAAATCCATAGATCTATGCATCAATAGACTTTACGTAGCTTCTTAACCCGCATCACATTCTGGTGGTATTCCTGCTCTTTCAAGTCGTTTCTCTGTCGCAGGCTACGCCGGCGACGCGGGTCTTTATTTGCTTGCAGGGATCCCAGAAGCCAAGCTTCATCACTGATTTTGCTTTTCGGGGTCCAGCAAGTATTCCATTTGATCTGATAGAGCGTTACACCAGCCTGTTCCTTTTTCTCGATGATAGCATACACATGAGAAAGAAGGTCGCCACGGCACTCTGCTTGACACTTCCGTGCATGCGGGTCGAAGGCCGATATCCTATCTTAAAGATCGACTAGAGTCATACTGTGGAGGTTCTCTAACTTGATCTCGGCGTTAAGCTCCTTAGCCTTTAACTCAGTCACGGCGTTGGCCGGGACAAAATTCTTTGGGCACATCCATCGATTCTTAGTATCCAATAGATACTCGTACTCTCCATGGTTCTAACAGTATCTCCGAGCGTAGGCTAAGTCATGGTCTTAGAGTCTATCGAAGGAAAGTCCCACAACCTCAGAGTCGAGGGAAGGCAAGCCCGCTGGGCTCCGCGCTCTGGTATCAGGATCTGCCACATTATGGACGGTGGCGACGATGCTAGAATCTGCTGCTAAGCTGTCCGAGGTGAGAGAGCTGTCTGAGACGATAGAGCTGTTTGGGCTGTCTGAGCTGTCTGCATCTTGAGGCGACTCTGGGGTGTCACATTCTGCCATGATTTCTTCAAATGCATCCGCTAACAGTTGAGACGGTTCATGTCTTCCCCTTTTGGACAAAGGTTTCGAAGTCGACAACTGGATAGGGGAAGTGGTTTGGTGGGAGTTGGATCGTGGAACGAGAGGTCGAATTGTCTTGCCGAAGCGAAGAATCGCCTCGAACTTCTTAAAGTCGGGTTTAAGGCATAGTTGAGATAATCGATTGTAGAGCGGTTGATATCTTTCAGAGTGTAATCCAAGGATTAAGAAGGAAGACAAGATGTGGAAGGGCACATTGAGGGTCACGACCGTACTTACACCCATCAGGGATTTTGCCAAGTGCACAGCCTCTGTCCTCGCTTTCGTTAACGACAAGCTCAAATAGGATGGCAGAGCGGCAAGGCGAATCAGGTTGATGAGTAGGGGGAATGATGTCACTTGCTTGTCCATAGCTGCTTCAAGCTGCCTTCTGTCGCTGGCAAGCGGACCTTATTTGACAGAGCTCTGCAGGAAGGTTACACTTCGTAGACAGGAGCTTCACGTAAACGCTCATATTGATCGTGATATTGTCCTGGTGGCTGGCTTGACGAGAGTCGCTGCTTTGAAAGGAGCAAAATAGACCCCAGACTTGTTCCGCTGCGATTGGGAACATCTAGAGCAGTAAACAATTCGGCGTCAGGGTATCTGCGTTGGCCCCCATTGGTACTGTGCCTTGGGCCTTCGGCGGCCTCTTGTGACCCTTTTTGCATCAAAGAATATTCCAGCGAGGTCAAAGCTTTCCTCAGGCAAATCCAGCTAATATCGCTGACGGCTAAGAGCGTTAGACGATAGCTCATTCTTACCGCGCCGTTTTTTCTTTGTCATCCATCTCATCACATGTAGTCATAAAAGGAGTGGCCGAGGATCATCTGCATACTGACAGGCAATCGATGTTGGATCCGAAACGGTGTTTTGACTTGACGAAGTGAGGGTGTTTGAAAGATCGAGCGTCTCGGCTGTCGTTTAGGAGATGAGCCCTGAGATATCTAAAGCAGTGGGATTCGCAAGGACATCTGGGTCTCTCTGGGCTTCAGCAAGTATCGCCATCATTTTCGAAGCAAGGCTTTCATCTTCCTGTCTCCTCAACCTCCCATTTGGAAACACCACTCTCCGAAGCCGATTTATCCAGGGCCGCAGTGGCTCATAATATGAGGTGACATGTTGATTCAAAGTTTCTAGAAAAATGCCCTCATCTGATACCGTACCTAGTTTCAGTTTGGCCAGTTCTTCCATGTCCACGTAGTTCCACTTCTCGAACATGGGCACGACTCTACCGCTCTTTTGGGGTTTGTCGTAATGGATGGATATCCAGAAAAGGACCCAAAAAAACGACTCGTAATCATGCATGGCCGAATGTTTCTCACCCAGCAGTACCCCAATGGCCATGAACGCTCTCGTACCTGTTTTGCCACGCGCTCCTGAAGACCCTTCTCGTTGAATCCGTATCGCAAGGTCGAGATCAATCAGAAACGCTGGCCAAGATCGATTGGCAGGGTCTTCGTTCATCATCAGATTGCCTACCGATATATCGCGTTGAAGGATCCCGGTCTGATATAGAGATTTGGAGCCTATCCTTATTAGCCACTGAATGCAATCCACTGTAGTATCGTTTACCTTTTATACAACCTTCCAACGCGGCCAGCATTGCGGCGCAAGAATTTGCCCGGTAAATAGGTTTTCCGTAGTCAGACACAATAACTCTTCGGTGGACACGGTTCAGGAGGGTGGGACTGATTGTCTTTTTGGTCGGGGAGGTGGAATATATTCGCTTGCCCGCAGGAATTGATGCACTAATAGAGCTGGATAATCTTTTGCGCCCGATGCTGCCTGAAACTTCAAACCTCCGACCTCTATCCGGACTCTTAAGTGAGACTGAGGCGCTCGGCGATAACATCGAGCTCTCTGTTTTCCGACTCTGGCTAAGAAAGTTCGCAGCTTTGGAGATATCTAGCATCTTGCGAACATTAGTCTAGACATCGTCGTCGATAAGACCTACCTGGACTGTTTCATAGTGATAGTATCTGGCCACATTCTCCACTTCTTTCTCTGTTGCCTCTCGCAGTAATTCCCCTTCTTAGTCGCGCTCGGGGTATTGCCACGAATCTTTGATGACGAGAGAAACCTTAGACTCATCGCCTTCTCGATAAGCTTTTCAGCAAGTTGTCGCTCGGCCCACCACAGAGATCCCACGCCTTATTAAGATGTTCAGTACAAGTCGTTCATTTCGGCCATCGCGGGTGATTTTCATAAACCTAACATCATTCGATTTCACAATAGTGGGATCAAATCCCAGCTACTCTTTATCTATCCAGAGAAACCCTAAGATCACTGAGACAAACCGCGCGCCGTCTTTATTGATATCAAATGGCTCCGAAGCAATGCCGCCAACACGATTAAACTCCCATAACCTCATGATCGAACCGCAGAGAGTGAATCCCAATACAAAGCGGCGGCTATCCTAAGCGGCGAGGACCTCTCGAACATATCTCGCTAGATCGAACCATGTCTTGGTGGCCATATCAAATGCGGGATTACTTTTTAGCTCTTCAGGCACAAGAATCTGCGACCAATGGTATACAGCGTCTTCGGCGGCATTGAGGTCATCCACAAAGCCAATGTCTGGCTTGCGATTAGCTCTAGAGCCTTCCAGGGCTTTGTTTGGTCGTATCAGGGGACCTCGTGTTGAGATTGGGGCTAAAACGAGATTTTTGGCGAGGTTCTAGAACAGGTGAACTCGCTGAGCAAACCACTTCAGCACAACCTTTTCTCGAGCATCTTTTGGCCAATCTGTCCAGCCTATGTCCTCTCGATACAAGGGAACATCAGCCTCCTGACATTTGTCAAACATAGCTACAGCATTCTCTTCCAAGTCGGGGATCTTCCCGTAAAACGTTTCGTAGAAACCGGGTATGCCAACATATAGAGGCCCCATCTCTTCCTTTAGCAAGTCATCCATATATTGTCTCTGCTCGGATGAGTTGACAATAGTGCTTGTGCTGTGCATGTAAGGGGTTTGAAGTATATGGGCCTACGGACAAGGTGGTGGCGTAGACTCAGTGAGAGTAGCATAGGCCTTCGCGAACAGAGTTTTGTCCGGGGCTCCGTTAATAACATCTCGCAGGAGAGGAATGATAGAATTGGCGTCAAATTGTTCAGAATCGATCTGGGCGTAGAATCTAGAAAGGTCACCGGAAAAGGACCCTCGACCAGTGTTGGAAGATAGCTTGCGGGAGGCAGGAAGATTTTGAAGGGCGGAAACTAAATCAAGAGCAAGGTTTTTGATATCTGAGCTGGTCAGTAGCGTTATCAGAGAAGGCGGTTTTGGTTATCTCTTTCCCCTATCTCACTAAGGACCTCAGTGGAGGGCGAAACTCCTAGTCTTTGACAAGTTGCGATGAATGAATCGCGAAAGGTGTCGAGGCCGGCCCCGATCGGATTGTCTTGGATGACCTGCGGTCTGAAATGATCCATCACGATATATGCACCACGCCATACCTAAGAATCCGAAAGTCACGCCATAAACGTGTGCGCTGACCAGATTTGATGTTGAATGGGAAGCTTTGGCTACAGGACATTCGCGATTCCTACGTTGCTGATGGGAAAGGCAACTATCCCGAGTCACATGCGGTATTTAAGTCGGCAATATTCTTGGCAGCGGTAAGAAGGCGATTCTGCTGCGAATTTCTGTTGTATCTCTCAGTTACAAGAGTGCACTTCATGATACGTACTGACTGGCTAACTTATAGTAACTCAGCAATTGCAGAGAAGACTATCGAGGACGCGATGGGGGAAATCCGGATATAGCGAAAAAGACACAATACTGTACCTATTTCCTGTCTAACGCAAGAAATCCCTACACGGACGAGGCTTCCTTCGAATCGACTCTCCTGTCGAATGCTGCGTGGATCCATATCTCCAGTCCTCCCGAGTATTGACGTCAGGACGCTGTCAAAGGCAGGGGAATTCGAAACAGTTCTCACATTGCATTGAAGAGATGGAAAAGCTCCTGCGGTGAGAACAGCTAAGGAGACACGTTGAGAGTGGCGGCATTAAATGGAATTTGCGAGGCAAAAAAAGTCGAAGCCATTCTGATGACAAGAATTGGCTTCGAAGGTTCATTGACTCTCAAGAACCTTAAGGTTATCTTGCAGAAGGCTATATGATTGGTTTTGATGCACTTTAGACTAAAAGTTCCTTGTGTACCCGTCTACGTTATTGTACAGTCCCAGAGCTGGCTGGAGCCACGCAATTCCTGCCGTTCCATCCTGTTTGCACTAGTCACAGTCTTACAATTGTCATAGCAGAGTCGATCTTGAAATTCTCCTCTTCACAATGACATTGACGAAAGTTTCAAAGCAACTTGCTGCATTGATATAAATCGCTCTGACCAACACCCATCGATCACCCCCTGAAAAGTAAGTCCACAAGTGTTTGGGAATTCACTTGCGCTGAACTTTGCTTCGGTATACGCCGCTGTCTGGTCGTCATCTAGTCCTGCTGTCTCGATATGATAAGGAGTGATCCCGGTCTCGATCTGATACACCATACACCCAAAAGCGAATATATCGGTTGATTTGCTGACATTCGCCATACTTGATCGACAATAACTCGTCTTGTAAAAGGCAGTCGGCTCGAGACCCCTTATCCCGCAGCCCTCGAAATCAACCCATTTAGCAATACCTTTTACCAGAATAGCGTTATGACAACCAACATCGGCGAAAAGAATATCGCTGCTATGAACATGGCAAAGACCGTCACATAGATCGCGTATGATTCTGAATTTCATGCTTATGTCAAGCCCTTTCCGAAGAACGATCGGAAGTGGAATCCCGCGTTCCAGGACGATTCCACTTGGAGTATCCTTTGGGTCTGAGTATTGATTTGGATAATAAGGTCCGAGATATTTTCCAATGTTTGGGTGCTCTCCGAGAAGAAGATATGCTTCAGCTTCTCTCTGTAGCCGCGCCTTGCGATCATCGGCGTGATAGTGTTTGATAACCTCTGTGGCATTATAGGCTATGACCACTCCGGTAGTTCCTACGTAGCCAGACTCAAGGTCTCCCGAAACATCGTTAAGCGTCTCAAATTCTCTGAGCCAGTTGATATCCTTCGTCGTAGTGGGATTGGCGTGTGTGAGTTCCATATTGCATGACGAAGAATATCAGGGTTGTAAGGGAAAATAGAAATGAAAAGGTAGATGAATGGACGAGGAGATTATGTATGTACGACAAGAGGAGAATATGTATCGATGCTCGAGACGTACGTTCGATCTGGAGGGAATAAACACTAGAAGAGAATCAAATTTTGCAAGCTCAAAACTAAGTAATCACAGCGTCACCGCCTCATGGATAACCGTTGCTCGTAGCATCTGTGGTTGTAGCGGCGTAAGGAATTGATTGACTAACTAAAAATGAAGGAGGGAACTGGCCGCTATATATACGTAAAAGCATGTCAGCCGATGTGGTGGGCGGAGAATTGTATATCCGACCCTTCACGTTAGGATCATACAGCCAGGTGTTTCACGTGACCTCGTTTAGTTTCCTGCCACCTTTTCAGTTGCGGGGAAGATCTTTCTATTGTTGACGCAGTTAGCCGTACTCCGTAGAACTTGACGTACTCCGTAAAGCTAGGGTCAGATCCAGCAAGCTTACATGTATGTAACGTATCGGGCCAAAATCAACACCCGAATCTCGACACAGAGGACACGCACCCCCCCTTCTAGTTTCTCCAAATTGACCAAGGCGTGCGTCAAAAGTAGCGTTTTCGCAGTAGCGATCCCGATTTGCTGCGTTTTCGCAACGTCGATAGAACCGTGTTTCAGCTTTATGGCGCTCGCGTTGACCTTGATTATTTGTTCGCTGACATTGTCTGTATACGGTTGTAGCGGTAGTATAGCTGCACATCTTGCAAAGGGCCAGAAAGGTAGCTGGAAAGGACAGTCAAGTGCTCCGTAGAGAGTTCAGGAATATTAGTGCTTTGTCCGTATAGCACTGGGCTTAGAGAAGACATGTCTACTACATCTTGCGAAGACCGCCATTTTATACTGTTCTCGCATCTACGAAGAACCTTGCAACTTACAGACTTTAAATGGGATGCTGGATCACTCCCAAGTTGATGCTGGTCATAATGCATCGGAAGCACAGGACCTAGTCGTATGTGGCCACGATTGTTAGCCCTTGTATTTGGCCTTTATTCAGCAAAAGGCTAGTAACCCTCATAGGGAAAAGGCTCTGCCTCTCCCTCCCAAAAAAACAACCCTCCAAAAAGTCAACCCCCAAAAAGTCAACCCCCCAAAAAGTCAACCCCCCCAAAAAGTCAACCCCCCCAAAAAGTCAACCCTCCAAAAAGTCAACCCTCCCAAAAAAGTCAAAAAGTTAACCCTCCCAAAGAATCCCCTCGCTCTATCGCTACCTCTCGCCAAGGAAATGCAACAAAGCCCAGATATCAAGAGAATCATTTCGATTCTCACCGGAAGATTTAGTAAAGCATGGGAAAGGACAAATGCTCCCCATGGAATGCTTAAATCTTTAGACAATGTACCGAATCTGGAGCCTGGACATATTGAACGAACCCTCTTGAGTATTGGATTCAAAGCCTGGTTTTCTTATTTCCTTGCGGGGCAGCGCAAAACTTCACATTACTCGGGACATGCTGATGACATATGGGTGCTGGGAGCACTTGAAACTCTCGGTGAGGGAACTCTGCAGGACGTTGCGAGAGCGATTGAACAGACTCCATTCCATCCGACAGTGGAAGACGCAATAATCAAATTGCGCAGACAGCCCAAAAGGAGTTGTAAGTGCTAGTCACGGCTATTAGAATACGACTTCTGACTAACTTTTCAGCTCCTTTGGCTTCAAGAATGGATGAGTTGAACCCTGGCGAAATCCAAGTCAGCTCCGTGGCAGCGCTTCGAGATTCACAGCCACATCCGCCCTCTGTCCCTACAGTTCCACAGAGTACTACACTCAGTACCGTGGCGAACGGTGAATCAGGATCCACAGCGAGGGAGACACCAGGTTTTCAGACGGTCTCAAATCCTCCTGCCAGGTACTTACCTGCGTTGTTTCGGCCCTACATGGTCTCGGCGATCAGGAGGAATGGTGATCGAGCCCATATAGAGATGTCGTTTCCCTATTCTTTCGGTCTTGGGATGGTTTGTATGAGTTTAGCTATTCTACCGAGCAAGGTCGAATTCCTCGCGCTGAAACTCTTTGGCACTCAAGTGGATTCCGAAGGAGAGTTCCGCTACATCGAGCAGGCAAACGGAACGAAACTCCTCATCAAAAACGAAGTTGTGGCACAAGGTGCCCAAGAGGAAGGAATTGTTGGACTTCTTAGCCCTGTGTTTTGCCAAATGCTCGAAGTGAGTCCAGCACGAAAGGCGGAAATAAATCAGGGAATCATTAACACAAGATTTGTGAACATGCAAATACCTGGTGATCTCAGCCAGGATGGAATTCTTACTATCAACATCGGAGAAGGTGAAGCATACCAGGTCAAAGACATACTCTTTAAAACATAAGGAGCTGATTTTCGGCATCATTCCTCCCCTTTCATCCTGCCTCCGTCTCCCATGCATTTCAACATCAAGCCCACCGGAATAATTGCAGATCCTGTCATTTTATCGACCTTTTGTACTTGTACGAATACACCTCCCACTTCTTTTGCCAGCGTCACCTGTTTACAATCACGCCAAAATACTCGTTCGCCAGATCCATGAATGCGATGAGGGGTCTTATGGCTGGTTGCCCAATTTATGGTCGACGGATCGAGGTCTTGAATAGTAATTTCCGCAGGCGGCTAAATGAAATATTAGCCACATGATTTCCACATATAATAACACTTACCATGAGTAAAATCAAATAGCAGCGCGAATGGTCCGGCTCGCGCTTGAGAAAGGTACTCTTGATAGTCGTGGATCTTGGAGGATTGTGTGGAAGTCGAGAAATTATTCTGAAATTGTCGACGTCACCAGGTTATCGTGTAAGACAGGTAGATAGGCCCTAACCGAGTCTGACGGAAAGGTCCAGGAGACGAAGAGTATTCTGGTTAACAAAGTCTTCCGTGACTGAAAATTGAGAGAAAGCATAAGTGACTCTCTCGTGTCAAATGAGGAAGTAATGAGGGGTAGAAATTGGGCAGCAAGGTTAGAGCGCTTTACTACTTTGAGAAAGATTGTGTCGAAGGTGGATTTTATTCCAAGGTGGACTTTTATTCCAAGGTGGACTTTTATTCCAAGGTGGA